AAGTTTCTTTATTCAGTGGAGCTTTTACAGTGCCAAAGAGAGCCAACTGCATACCGTAAGATATTTATTTATTATTACTATGAAGTTCTATTTAAGGTATCCTTAAGTCCTCAAAGAATCTTGTTATGTTTCATAGTGTTATCCTCACTACAGACCAGGGAGGCAGGCAACATTGGTGTTCCCACCCTGAAGATAAGGGACTGGGGTGCAATGAAATTTAGGGTCAGATGAACAAAGTTACCTAGGCTCCTAATTCCTACCAGCATGCCTGAACTCCTTTAGAAACTTATGAGAAGGTACAAAAGGGATTCAGATGCTCGGGCGACTTGCTCCAAGTCACACAGAAAGCGCAAAGCAGAGCGAAGACCAGGTGTCCAAAAATCACACAAAAAACGCTCCAGCCCCTGGACCAGCTCCCTTCTCTCTTGTCTGGCAGATATTTCCTGCCATTGTGAAGGCTGCTTTCCTGGTGAGACGCCCTTGCCTATGACAATGTGTCTCCCATCTAAGGGTCAAACGAGAGCTCCTTGACTCAGCCGCTATCTTTGCTACTAGGTGGCTCAGCAAGAGGAGCGGGGCGCAATGATAGGCTATCGGCGCAAAGCGAGCAGCGAGTATTTTGGCAGGACTCTGCAGAAATTTGTCATAGCAGGAAATCTGCCACAGCAAACTTGCGTTGGTATTTTGCGGCATCCCACAGGGGTCTTTGTGGTAGCAGAACAATTACGGATCAAAGGCAAATGTTCCCCACCCTTCCTGAGACCCCGAGAGGCAGCAGAGCCAAACAGTATCTTCCCCCCGGGGTATAACGAGACCGCCTGGTAGGCTGGAGTATCAGCACGGAGACAGCATCGGGACTGGGAAGGACACCAAGTACTAGACAGCTACGTGCTGTAACCACTGCCCGAGCCTCTCGTGTGGCTGTAAAGACCTTGCAGAGCAGCCTGGTCTGCCTGGAAGGAGTCAGGATGGGATGTGTAACTGCCCGTACGTACTCACACTGCTGCCCTGACTTCAAGAGCTATCCATTAATCTTATGTTTTGGTGGGGAGATGAATGCATGAATCTCACTACCAGCAGGGTATGAGCTCCCATCAGCTCAGTCCTGACAGGTGCTAAGCAATCAGCAACACCTTCCTTTATAAGAAAAAATGCTGATTAGAAGTGTTACTGCACCCTTGAAGATGACTGTGATTTTTTTTTCCATGCCCTGGTGTCAGGCTTGTGCCTGTTAGACAATCAGTCCCTTTTCTCTCCCATTGTTTTTATCCTGTTGCTAACATTTTTTTCCTAAAAGTTCAATCCTCCTACCTGGTGTTACACCTGAGAGTTGATGTGAAGAGATGTGACTTCTTAGAAGAGCCTCACAGTCCACACTGATGACATTCTTGTCATGTTCACCAACTTCCTCATAATATTGTTTTAGGAGGTTTACCATTGCTGATAGAGTTATACCTTCTATTTGGTTTATCAATTATAGCAGAATCAGACTGTCTGTACTTAGCAGAATGTACAGTATGTAACATATTTGTTATTGAACGGCAACAGCCAGTATGTAAGAAATAGCAATTTAATGTAAGACAGAACTGCTTGGCCTCCTGCAGTACATCACAGCCACAGATAAAGACTTACCAGTGCTAAGTACAAACACTGGGCCCATCCCAAATTCTGGCTCTAGCTGAATGCCAGACCGACTCCTCGCCTGACTAATTGTATGAATAGCCATTACTCATCATTTGCTTTTTTCAAGTCAGATCTATTTTATTAAATGAAGAATTATTCATGAAAGTGTGGTAGCTGTAGGTTTCCTAAGTAAGTTGTATATAGTACAATATCATTTTGACCCAGTACGTTACATCATAAATTTTAATCCCTTGTTCAGGTAGGCAGTACAGCACTGAGACAGGATCAAGCCCATCTTCTCCAGATTTGGTTAGAGTCTCTCTGTTTCACTTGTGTCAAATGTTCCATATTGCAAGACAATAAATGCAATACGTCTTCTGGTCACAACCAAGAGAAATAAGCAGGTTGTAGTCGCAAGTATTTTAGAGGGAGAATCAGACAGTTTCAAGAGAGGCAGGAGGGGAAAACCATTTGTAAACTGTGACCAATTATGAGAAAATACTCCCTGAGGATTATAATAATAAAATACTGTGCGTGGTTCAGAATATGCTCAACAAGAACTAACTGATGTGAGGCTACCAAATGTCAGGGAAACCTTACGGATCGATCCCCTCAGCATTCACTCCTGGCTTCTGCAGCTCCCACTGCAGGCAACGGGAAAGCCATGCCTATAAGGACTGTAAGAAACACTACTGGGAAAAATTGCATCTGGTTTTCTCCCTATCTGAAACTAATTTCACGGTAAATTCACTTTCACACCGCAACACACATGCATTTGTAATGGCTGGTTTGCATTTTCATTGAATAGAGTCCGTTCAATCTGGAAAGGCCACGGGTTAGTGACTAATCCCGTTCTCCTTGAACAGGGAGGTAACATTTCCTCTCGCTGCAGCACCAGTTACCCTTGGCTCGCACGCTCAGCGAGGCTCGGAGGATACCCTCCGCTCCTCCGAGCCTGCTGATGTGCCTGGAGGGGCACGCGTGTGAAGGGCTGCAGGACCGGGGCACTACTCTTTTTAAAATGGTTTTAGCAACCCATTCAGTCCTGTATTACTTGACCCTGTATCCTCTTCCCACAACATGGCAATTCCTTACCATTTTGAACCTATTTGCAATAAAACTAATCGTGTTAGTGCAAACACTGGGAAGAAAGGACTGTGACTGCTTGTGGAAAATATGGTTTAAGAAATAACACAACACAGCTGAACATGAAATCGGATTTTCAACCTCCCTCTGAACCCACAGCAATACGAGGTTGCTATTTCTATTTCAGGCTGGTGACTTTTCTGAGTTTCAGAACGGACCGAGTGCCTGAAAGCATACATGTTTTTCTCCTACAAGTTTAAACAAAAAATAATCTCTCTTTCTACAAAGCTGGCTTTGCCCTGGTTGCTTGGCACGTAGCTGAAGTTAAGTTTCACATTTTGTTCCAAGTAGGAAATAAATGCATGGCAATGGAGGAGATTGCCAGGTTTGGCTTTCGTTGTGTAGATTAAAGGATACTAAAATGCAAGCGAAAAATGTATTTAATATGCTGGTAAGATGACAAAACCAACTGAATTGAAAAGCCTGGTGCCATACCTTACTGAATACCAGAAAAATAACTTGCATTTTAAGTCGGATAAAATTATTTAGTTTTATGAGATATTTAGAGTCTTCTAAAATGTCAGGAATAAACAAACAAACAAACAAACACTTCCTTATAAATAGCATATATTTTCCCTGAAAGTTTGTTGAAAATTCCGGCTCCATTCAAAATTTGCCATTTTTTCCAGCAACTAAATGGATAACATTTTCAAATTCCATTTTTTAAAGTTGAAAATTTCTGCCAAATAATTTGAAGACACGAGACTTACAATTTTTCAGAAACATTGCCGAAAATACATCTTCTTATCCCACCTGCTACAATTTTAAGTATTCCTGACATCTTACTAAATGCTAGATGTCTTGATGACCATGTTATTCACATGGGTAGCATATTCAGAGGGGATGTTCTCCATAACAAACATGGGGGGGGGAAATCTTGATTTTAATAAATAATGTTTGTTTATGTAAATGAGAATATGGCCCTTTCTCTCTACAGTGGCAGCAAATAATAGAGCAAACTGTAGAATGTTAGAATTAATTAAGGCAAATTTATGTCATTAAGATGCCTTTGGCTTGAAGCATTCATGAACGTGAGTTTTAAAGTACTAGATTTTAGGACATAATATATAATAAGCACAGAGGTCATAGGTCCCCTTTTTAAAAAGAATGTCAGGATTTTACACTGCCACTTACGTTACAGATTTTGCAGTGTTTTGCGATACATAGGCTCAGGTACAGTCCTGTCTGGAGTTAAATCAGTAAGATCAGGACCAGGACTAGTGCCAGTGTTAATTGAATGCCCCAAGTATTCAGCAACAGATTTTACCTCGCTTCAAGGTGAGGCAGTGCTGTTCATTAGTTCGCAGACCTGATGCAAATCTGCCTCCCAGCACTGGCTTTGTGAAGCTGGCTGCTGTCTTCCGCTGTTTGTTCTGGTGTTTTCATATCCTGTTGGGTGCTGCCCACCTTACACAACGCTGGCGCAGGTGCTCGACAGTTAAAAGTCGTGGCAGTTGCACCGGAGAGGGTGAAGTACCGCAAACAGGCTGTTCACAGACAGCGTGATGAAAAGGGAGGCAGCAATCAGCGGAATGGCAGGTGTTCGCGGCGCTGTTTTGAAGACAGTGCAGCTATATATAGTGCGCGAATATAGATCTTTTTACTAATTGGAGCCTAACTCAGCTCTTTTCCTGAGAAGTTTCTCCAGTGGAAGTAATTGCCCTCATTTGAACTAAATAATGTAAATATCAACTCACGGAAAATAGGATGCCATATGTATTTTTAACTTTTTCTTCTTGCCATTTGCCCTTTAGCAACATGTCTTTTTAATGATAAATTTCATTTTGAAATAATAACTCCCAGCCAAGGATCTTGAGAACTTTCCAATACTGAACTCTATTCTACATATAGACAAACCGAGGCAAACACTACTTACTCAGTTCACCCAGGGTAACGGAGTGCATCGCAGCCTGGCCTGGTTCGTAAGGTAAAATCTCAACTCCTAAGCAAGATCTACATCTGTGCTTCATTTCATGCTCTGAGTCACTCGGCTGGCCTTGGTGTAAAGCACCTAAGTAAATGTTTGAAAGATTGAAGCCTGATGTTGACTCCGCACAGGCGAGGCTACAGGCTTGCAAAGCTAAATACAACTCCTGAACCTAACCAGGCCACACCTTGAGCCTCCAGCCCAGCTCACCCACAGTTAAAGTGAAATTATCAGAGAGACTGTGTGACTACCCAAGATATGCCCAGGGCAGAATCCTTGACTGAAATTTTAAATTCACTAGATGAGTAAAGGTCGTGAATTACTATTACTTGTAAGAGAAACTGAGTTATCGATAGACTTCTCATAAAAATAGTCTCTAAAAAAAGGCGAGCTTGAAGTATTTCAGTAGTAAAACTACTGATGGG